CACGCGCCGGCGGCGCTCACAGCACCACCGGGGAGACGCTGAGGAACTTGCGGGCCGAGGTGCACTGGGCCCCGTGATCCATCTGCTCCCCGTGCGTGAGCAGCCGGGCTGCGCCCTGGTCGGGCGTCTCGAACGGGGTCCCCTTCACCACGTGCAGCAGCAGGAACATGACCTGGGGGCCGAGCAAAGGCAGCGCAGAGCACAGCCCGTGTCCCACAGCAGTGGGGACACAGCAGCAGCGGGGACCAGAAAGGCACTTTCTGCACTGCCACAGCCATTCCCGCGTAGTGACAACCCCACGGCAACATCGGGAATGGGGGCGTTTCGCTCCGTGCCCGGCAGAAACCAGGGATTCACTTGTACCCCGGGGAGCTACGTGCCGTAAAACGGGCCCAACGTTGACTAAGCAGGTTGTGAATAACGTTGGTGAGAGTCCAGACCACGGGAATGCTGAAGAACGGGATGCTGAGGAGGACGACGTGCAGGAGCCCCACAGAGATCCCGTATGCCAGCCAGACGCCGCGGCTGCTCATGACGCGCGTGTTGGGATTCACCTCGCTGTGCGCCACGCCAACATTCATCCTGGCGGATAAACACATTTTTCCCACGTCTTTTTGGAAAAGATTTTTCCCAAGTCTCTAATTCCAAACGCACTCGGAGACCCAGCTCGTTCCGCAAGGTCTCACCGGAGTTTCCCGGAGGAGGGCGCATCCTGCCTCCCAACCGTCCACCCGCCCTCCGGCATCCGGACATCAGGAGCTCCGGGATCGAAGGAAGAACCAGCTCACGGCAGAGCTCCCTCTCCTGCTCCCCACGTGTCCCCTCCCGCTCCCCGCATGTCCCCACATGTCACCTGGTTGCAAGTGCAGCCCCTGGCAGCCCCAACTCCACAGGGACCCTGCGCATGGGGGGCAGAAAATGAGCACGACCCCGTCCCCGCGCCCCCTGTCCCCCCAGAGCGCCACCCCCTCCCAGGTGCCACCTCCCCGCCATCGCAACGTCCCT